CCAGGTCAGGTGAGTAGGGTGGGTGGGGAAGCACACAGCGGTCTTGTTTTTGGCCAAAAGCTCGTGTGTTCTGAGGGACAAATGAGCCGGCGCGTTGTCGTGGTGAAAGAACCACTCGCCGCTCCTCCAAAGTTCGGGCTGTTTTCTCCTGATTTTGTCTCTTAGGCGATTCATAACACCAGGTAGTACTCCGTGTTGACTGTCTGGCCTGTAGGTAGGTATTCGTGATGCACAACCCCCTTTGCATCGAAAAAAAACAGTCAACATCACCTTAACATTTGAGCGAACTTGTCGAGCTTTTTGGGGCGGGAGGCTGTTTCACCCACCCGTGAAGGATTTTCCGAGTTTCACAAAGAATTTCACAGAACAACGCTGTTCTTTCAAAGAGCCGATTTCTGCGGATTCGATTTTTCGCCGAACCCCACAAACACCATTTCACATAAACGGCCGTAACTAATCACCAAAACAAGATATCAACAAACGGGTTGATGGAGGTTACTTGGGAGGTTTCCGTGGACACAACGCCTCCAAGCGAATTAAAAAATAACCAACTGGAGGCGTTCAAAAAGTTCCCGAACTTTTTGAACAACCCACGTACATTTTCTTTTGATTTTAGAATTCACAATAACCATATAAAAAGCAATATATTTTTGTTTGTTTATTATATACTGTTGTCCAACAGAAAAGTAAACTATCTTATTTACAAATCTTTTCAAAGTAGACAGTTTGACCGGGCCCTTCTAAAAACCGGGCCCTAGACATTTGTCTCATTTGTCTATGCGATGATCTGGCCCTGCTCCTGCTCCCTCTGTTGGGTTTTGAGTTGTCACTACGTGACGAGGAGAGACCAATGGAGTGGTGACGGCAGTGGAAAAATCGATAAAACTGCATTTTCGGGAACTTTACAAGGTCTTGGGTTTTGGTGCTTAGTGCTCCCTTGCTGGGATTTAGTGCTCGTGCCAGAGATACAACGTAGGATGCTCAAGGAGCTGGTTTCGCCAACCCGTCACGTCCAGAATCATCGAGGTTCGATTTGTCCATCGAGGACATCTCTACACGTGCTGTGCATGCCCTGGTACCGACGTTCTCTGTGTCCAGCGTGCTGAAAATATCCAAGGACCGATCGAACAGTCGAACTTTTCCATTTTTACTGGAGCTGTTATAGTAACCCATCGTTGGATAGGCTTCTGCCTGACATATTGAATTATTGTAAGAACAATTTACGTATTTTATTAAACAGTTTTATATGTTAAACCTGTCTCGGTGAGTCATTCTGCGCCCACAAGACAGTAATGACTGCTCGGCTGTCGAAAACACCCCCCCAATAGGCTGACCTCACATAATTATATATCAAATATCAATGATAAAAAATTGACACTTTTGGATAGTCATCCTGAAAACAAAATGAAATTTAAAATGATTTAATTTTCTTAAAAATTATTTGAATATCAATGTATTTTAGTATTTCTAGTTTTTGACTTTATTATTTGTATAAGTAAAATAGATTTTGATTCTGTTACTTGGCTTGTTTTATTATTCTCGTACAGTGGTGCTTATACTTAAAATTTAATTTATTCCAGGAGGCTGTTTAAAGTCTGAATCAATTTTCTTCATAAGAAATAATGGAAAGTGAATTAATCTATTTCTAGACCCAGAACAATACTTATTTTGATGTATTTAAAACAGTAAATACACATAATTAAAGGTACAAGTAACAACTAAATGCCCTAAATAATCAACTAAAAAATGAAAACAATAAATAAAATACATAAATACTGTATAATAAAATGAAAATTGCATTTACCATTGACTTCAGCATCTTAAACATTGCTGTTAGATTTTCCACACATACTGCTTTCATGCTTTGCAATAAGTTTTTCTTTTATGTTAATCATTGATATTACAATTTCACTCTTAGACTTTGTTCCCTCCACACATTTCTTGGATGCCATGGTGAAAAAGTAAAAGTTATATTGAGTTGAACAGAAAGTTTTTCAAATTTTTAACAGCTGTTGTTACTTAATATAGATGTATGATTTAATTATAACAGTTGTGAAATTTAACATATTATTGCTAATGTGAGATGGTATTAGTAGCATAGCGTAGTGGGGGCGGCAGGGGTGGCCCGCCTCGGGCGTCACTTTTTAAGGGGTGGCAAAATTACGTTTTAGGGGGCAGAAAAATTTCACAATAAATAATAATAATATCTTGTAAGAATTTGAACCATTTTATTTCATATTTTTGTGCACCTACGATTCGGATCGATTGAAATGAGCACGGAATAGTGTTACCATCCGGACACTCTAGGAATCGATTCATAGTCCATGCGCTACCTGTTGATTTTTTTTTTTTTTTTGCTTATATGATTTATTTGTAAATATATATACCTCCAATATCCAATAGATCTAGGTCACTTACGTTACTCCTACCCAAGTCTCCCTAGTCACTAACTGATTTAGAACCGGCATGCACTGCGCATTATTCTTCACATTGCAAAATGACATTATGCATGTGTTAGGAACTTCTGTTCGAACAAACCTGACTTGCCGTCAGTATTGGCGATTTTAAAAAGGTGGCAACACTAGTACAGAATTTTTCATTACTTATTCTGTAACGAAACTGAATTTTAGTCTTTTAAATTGAGATACCTAAATGAGGGGGGGGGCGAAATTTTCCTCTGCTTCGGGCGGCTGACACCCACGCTATGCCACTGGATGGTATTTTTTATTTAGAAGTTTATTTTAAACTTTTTACTTCACGTTTTGTTTGAATAAAATCAAGTTGAAATATCTTCAGATGAATTCTTTTTATCTGATTCAGGTATATTATGATTTATAAGTTTCAGAAATGATATAACACCATACAAACAGGAAAAAATTTTGTAATGTTTATGGGAAAAAATGCTTCTAAACTTCAAACATGCCAAATGTGATTTATTTGAAGCTTCCTGCCATTTAATTGTTATGTTTATTATATCATATTATTTGATAAAATAATGATATGAAAACAATTAAAAATCAGATTAAGAGAACATATTTGCGCTGTAAAATATAATTATTTTAATTCAGCTGTCACTGTCCATTGTATCAATACTAAACAGATTTTAATAATCTTACTAAACAGTGATCAAATTTTATTGGGCTGCAATTTGAAAGCATTGTAGATCTATAAATTCCCAATGTCATCCATCCATCTCTCTGTAGGTCCTTCCTTAATCTTGAAAATGGAGATAGATAGTTGAAAGTCAAGATGGATATAGAAAGCTTAGGGGCAGGAGGCCCCAATTAACTATATATGAACTTCTGGTTTGCACCAGAATTGATGTTATTTCAATTCAAAAATTTCCCCTAAAAGGAGTTAGATAGATGATCAACATGACTGTTTTGCTAGTAGGAAAAGTACAATGTACAGGGACAAGATATTACTAATTTGAGATGGAGAGCATATATTTTAAATTAAATAAATTAAAAATATGATTAAAAATTGCAGCCTTGCATTTTGATGATGTCATAATAAATAATTGCTTGTAATGAAAATAATTTAATTGTTGATTAATGAACAATAATTTAAATGTTTCTGATCAGTTGACTATTCAATAACATGTGGAACCTCAGCAGACTGACTGTGGATCTCTTCAACTTTTCAATTATTTTCAAAAGTGAAGTATTTTTAGGCTAATAGGATGATAAGATGGAATATTTGGTTCAGTATCAATTTTTGTCACTTTGCTTCTTTCACGCAACAACCAAGGATGTCTTCAGCTAATATCTGTTTTTAAATAAAAATTAACAAATTAATATTTTTTTTTTATAAATAACCTTGATTAAATAGGTTTTAAAAAAATTTTGTTTAATAAACTCAGTATAAAACAAGAACAATTTATCAGAAATTTTGTCTGGAACTCCACTTATGTGTATTCACTTTTTTATAATTTAATCTAGCTTAAATTTTATAAATAATAATTAGACTATATTTTATTACATGCTTTAAATTTTGATAATACCGGGAGTATAATTGTAAATTAGAAAGTGCCAGCATGCTAACTGGCACCCTGAGTTTTAGTCACCACTATCTGTGGAGTTTGTATGGGCAAAGTGAAGTTTTGTGGTGGAAAATCTGCAAAATGGCTTAAATATGCCAAGAATGACTTACATATTCATAATCAGCACGAAAAATTCTTCGAGAAATAATTTTCTCATGGTTTTGATGGGTACTGAACTGTACATGATCTAAAGGCCATCCTGGATGTTTACAAAATACAAGGACTTTGTCCTGCTTAAAAAATAACTACCAGGAAGCCACCTTAATACACCCTGGCATGACTACAGTGCTGGATAATACTACATATTTGTTGGATTTTCAAATAAAATATTAATTATAAGTATTATAAATTTTCAATAAAATTTTAATTTTAATTTAATTAAATATATACAGTACATTTTTAGTTTTGGATGATTTTGTTTAAAAATCAAGTTACACATTTAACTTTTAAATCTTAATAATTTAATAAACAATTAATATGCTTTATTAATTCTTAAAATTATTAAATAATATAAAATATTAAGTAGTATTATTAATTTTTCAGGTATATTTATTGTTTGAAGTTGATAATTTGGAATATGCAAGTCCTTCAATAGTTTCTCAATGTGGTATTGTTTATACTGAATGTAATAATGTCAGCTGGAGAACCTATGTAAATTCATGGCTTGAACAATATGAGAATAATGAAATAATTAATGAACTAAATCAAATGTTTGAAAGTTTTTTATTGACTATTTTAAATTTTAAAAAAGAACATTGCAAAGAATTAGTGCCAATTACTGAATTAAATGGAGTTATTTCACTGTGTAAATTACTTGATTGTTTAATTTCAAAATATATGGAGGTAGGTTATATTTTATCAATGTAGTTTATTTTAAGTAATTATTAAAACAATAAACCTTTATACAAGTATCCTTTTCCTAACATAGTTTTGCTTAATATGCAAAATTAATTGTGGCAATTCCTTTGTTTATATGGCAGAAGTTTTAATTTATGCAGCTTTATCAGCTGTCTTTACTTAACATAGATACCATATTTTGATTAACATGATTTTGATATGCATGATAGGAATGAGGGATTAATTAACCACATTAATCAAGGGAAACCTGTTTATTGTTCATATAAAAATTTTTCTGCTGAAATTTGCTCTTGGATATGACTGTGTTTTTACAAATATTGTTTAAAAAAATCACAGATAATTTTGGTGTCATTACATTATAACATTATTTTGTGTTCTTAAATTTGTCAAAGTTTTAATAGTTCTATTTTTAGATAGTACTCTTTTTATCAAACATTGATAGATTGATTCCAATATTTCTCCTTTCCATAATGAAAAAGAGGTTTTAAGAATCTCAAAGAATTTTGAAGAAGCAAAAAAAAAAAAAAATAATAATAATAATAATAACAGAGAAAATGAATCATGTTGGTAATATTGGTAATAATTTTGCTTGATAAGCTTGTATAGTTAATGAAAGATGTATGGTTATCATTCATCCTTTATTTAAGAGGACAGTTCTTTATTTTACTGCTTTCATCAATAGATTTTTTTTTTTTTTCTAAAATAGCTATTTTATGCTTTATTTTGTAAATTGAAATTTGTGTATTAAAAGTTAAGTCACCAGTGAAAAGATCAAAGAATGGCTACATAATGATGAGTGTGTGCCTGTAGATGGGTTGAAATTTTAAAATATTTTACAGATAAACATGTATATTTTAAAAATTGATGAATTTTGCTTGTTTCCTTGGATCTAATTCCCTACCAAATAAGTATTTTCATTAGTAAACAATATATGGACTAATGGAATTAAAAATCAAAATATTGGAAGCATACATTTATACCAAATACAACTTTGACATTAATTGTATACAGTTTTATGAATTTTTAAAACACAAACCTGATTTATTCTTGTAAAAAGTATCAAAATTAAAATTTTTTAAACTAATAATATGATTTTTTATAATGCTATCTAAATGCTTATATTTTATAATAAATGTTACAAAGCTTTTTAGTTTTAGTGGAACAAATAAATACAACCTAGTTTTTTATGAAACAATTTTTGATTTGTCCTTTATTTTCTGAAAAAAAAATATGGTTACTGTACCATATAGCATAGCTGGTAATGTTGCCTGCCTAGCTTGCAATAGTTGTAGTTTTGAGTGCCATATCAAATTTTAATCTAAATTAATTAATTACTAACTACTAATTGTTAAATTTAGAGCAGAATGTCCGTTTTTTTTCAAAATTAAATTAAATTATCTATTTACTTTAATATCAACTGTTACGATTCTATAGATATTTATAAATTTATTTATATATTCAAAATATCTCTTTTGAAACAGATTAATTTTTTTAAAGTTGCATGTTTTTTAACTTAGTATTCTTCATATCATATACTTTTAATCAACAAATTTCACTTTCGAGTGGAATCAGGTGGATTTTAAAAACATTTGGGAAGTCACTTATTTACATATTTACTGGAAACTGAAGAGGTTCAGTAGTCTACTTGTATAGTTTTAATTATATAAACTGCAATCTGCATTGAATTTGATCAATATGTGTAACAGATAAGAAACACCTGAAAATTTTAATTAAATAAATATGAGAAAATACATCAGATTTAAACTTGGATATATACACAAGAAATAAGAGAATCTTTTACTATGCAGCTATCAAACTGACTTTGTTATTATTGGAAATAAAAATACTTTTTCTATTAAAGTAATTGTTATATTATTAGATTATTTAATATTTCGTATTAACTTTATAATAATAATTTTCTAAATCATGTAAATATTATATTTTTACATATATTATTTTCCAGAGAAATATTTCAAATAATCCACCTGCTTTACTTTTAAAACTGTTGTTCTTTTTTTCTGTAACTTGGTCAATTTGTGCCTCTGTAGATGACTTTGGACGTAATAAAATAGATAATTTAATTAGACAACTTGAGAGTTCATATCCTACTGAAAATACAGTATATGATTATTATGTTGATACTCTTAACATTGTATGGATATCTTGGTCTGAAAAATTACAACAAAACTGGAAATATGATTCTAGGTATTTTTTAAATTTTTTTCATCTTAAATTAGAAATAATTTCGAAAATATAAATAATCTATATAATCTAATTTATAATAGAACTATATGTTACATTGACAGAATAAAAGTGTTAATCATTTTGCAATTTATATAAATGCATCTAAACACAAATTTATCACATTAAGCCTTCTGCTCACAATTTTAGATACATTTTGTCAATAAATACCATAATTTGTTTAGTGTTATATAAATTTGTGTTGTATATGCATTGATTGAAATTGTATAATAGCAAATAAATTGGAAACAAAAGATTAAAAATATTAATCTTTATTTCAAAATTTTTAAGATTTTAACTATGCAAGAATTAACTTGTTTTTAAGAATTCCTCGAACTTTGAACCTAAATACTGTTTATATTAAAACAGTTTGTGATAATATATATTTTCTGCTTTTATACTTTAAACCATATCTAATAACTTAAGTATTTCTTGCAGCAGGATAAAAAGAGCATATGCAATATAATTAACAAAATACAATAGACCCTCCTATAACACTGTTGATAATTCCGTGTTATATGAATTTCATGTTGTACGAGTCACTTAGATTTTACAAATATATGAGCCGTTCACAGCCCGGCACACGTATTTGTAAAATCTAAGTGACTCGTACAACATGGAATTCATATAACACGGAATTATCAACAGTGTTATAGGGGGTCTACTGTATAACTTTTTTAACCTAAAAATATTTAAAATATAGATTTTCCATTGTTTTATTCATAAAAGTAGTTATGAAAAAATTAATTAAATTATTTAGAAAGTGCACATAGAGGTGATAAAGATACACAAATGATTAAAAGAACAAACAAAGATATATAACAGACATCTGTTTATTCAGTAATGAATATGTCCACTAAGGGCAGGTAGCTATACAGGCTGCTATATGGTGAGGCATACTATCAAATGAGGTGATTAATGGTTGCTTGAGGTATCTTTTGCCAAGCTGTGTCCACTGAGGCATGCATGCCAGCTATGGTATATAGTGTTGGTCCCCGATGCACCTAACCTGAGGTCCCACAGGTGTTTGATGGGGAGAGATTTGGCGAGGCTAGTGGCCAGGAAAGGATGTGAATTCTGTTTAGGCTGGTGAAAGTTTGCTGTATGATGTGTGGTTGGGCATTGTCTTGCTGGAACAGTATGCTGAGTACAGCATGCACCAGTGACTAAACCATAGGCCCCACAATTTTTGTGACATACTGATCCATTTGTTGTCAGAATACTGGAAATGTGCACTAGAACTGTCCGCTTATTGAACACGATGCCTCCCCAAACTATGTTGCCCAGTGTGGGGTAATAATGATGTCCAATGAAGGGACTGGCACATAGCATTCCCTGTGATACTTCCACACCTGTTCATGGCCATCATTACTCCATAGACAGAAGCGGGATTCATCCATAAACAATACCTGATAGCATTCAATGCTCCAGTTGTGATTATGACAACACCATGCTATGCATGCAGCCCTATGTCAAGTTGTTAATGGTACCCTCATTGCTAGTTGCTGTGCATGCAAGCCTGACTTCATGCAACCTGTTGTGAATTATTTGGATGGACACAGATATACCTGTTGATGGCAATAGGTGACTTCGGATGTCATATGCCATGGTGAATGAGTCCCAACAGACCATTTGGCAAAAGTCTGTGCACTCTGTTTGTGCATGGGTATTATCCACTCCTTCTTTAGCATGTTCTCAAATGTTCCTGCGTCCATCATGCTACACATTACTGGATGGTTGGTACTCATGTTGTGCCATCAACAAACTGGGGTTGATATTGAGATGTGGTTTCAGATTAAACATCATGGCTGAACCTTTCTTATAACCTGATCAGGTCCAATTCTATCTGAATATAAAAGGGAACCAATTAAGTAGAACTAAGGAAGATTTGGAAGATAAGAAAGACCAACTGAATTGTTCAATCCATGGACAAATTATATAAAAACCTGCATCTCAAGGTCATGGCATCCTTCTTCAATTGTTCTTCCCTAATTGCATTTTGCCAATCATCTTTCCCTTTGTTTTAGTGTGCTCACATCCACCAGTTTGCTTCATACATCTTTTAATCATGATCCTTGTCACACCATAGAAGACAACATTCTACACCACATGATTCCTTCATTAAGTCATATTATTAATGCTTCTCTTTGTGGCACAACAAACTCCAGGATATGGTCTTGTTCCTCAGCTGTTAACTAGTGATATTCAGCTTGCTGTCATCTTTGAGGCATTTTGTTTCTTTGAAAGTTCAGCTACCAGGATACACTAAATGCAAGTTTCTTGTGTTGTGCGATAGAACATCCAGCTGTGACAGAACACAGCATTAGACATCATGTATTAGTTCAGATCTGAATTTACTTACAAGTCTCAAGATCTTTTGGAAGAATCACTGAGAGACCGAGTGAATACATTCATTACAGTATTTCGACTTTTTTGGATTCTCTTCTCAAACATACCAATCAAAGGTGAATTGTAAAACTGATTATAGCAAAATTTTATAAGAACATTTTTTTATTTTATTAAATGGGAAAAAGTGAATGGAAAACCTGTCTGTGTGTAGATCATGCCCACACATGATTGTCTTGAACTCTTGACTGTACTGACAATTGCACACAGTTGGCAAACCTTACATAAACACACTGATAAGGTAAGAAATAACCATTGTAGGTCTTGGATGACCTGAGTTTACATGTTGGACTGGGAAGATGAACTTTGACTTTGATGCTCATAAATATGACAAAATAATGGTGAATTTGAAGTGCAATAAAATATTTCATTTAAAAGAAATATCACGAAACACCTAATAGAAACTCTTAAGAGACAAGAAAGAAAACAAGATCTATTAAAATATGAACAAAAGTTTCAAAGTTTGTTTAAACATCCTGTAGGTTGATATTGAGATGTGGTTTCAGATTAAACATCATGGCTGAACCTTTCTTATAACCTGATCAGGTCCAATTCTATCTGAATATAAAAGGGAACCAATTAAGTAGAACTAAGGAAGATTTGGAAGATAAGAAAGACCAATTGAATTGTTCAATCCATGGACAAATTATATAAAAACCTGCATCTCAAGGTCATGGCATCCTTCTTCAATTGTTCTTCCCTAATTGCATTTTGCCAATCATCTTTCCCTTTGTTTTAGTGTGCTCACATCCACCAGTTTGCTTCATACATCTTTTAATCATGATCCTTGTCACACCATAGAAGACAACATTCTACACCACATGATTCCTTCATTAAGTCATATTATTAATGCTTCTCTTTGTGGCACTTAATAAGTGTATGATTCTTCATGTCACTTCAGGATTTGGAAGAACCATCATATGTACCTTCAAGAGTGTGGTGTTTGGCAATATCTGGATGTGGATTTCCCCTTAACCATCTCATCAACAACTCTGCCCTGGACACGGCATTATCTGTATTCATGGTAGACTTTCGAATTATATATAGAAAGAACATCTTCATGGGATGACAATCTGAAGCAGATGAAGTAAAAATTAAATTCCTAAGTGCCCATCTATGTATCAATAAATGGGAAAATTTGTAAAGGTGTTTTAAGTCTAAATCCATTGGCACCCATAAACATGGTTTCTACATGCACACCTTTCTTCCATTTGTCTTTCTGGTGTGTGAACTTCAAATCAGGTGGTGACATTAATTGTTGTAACTTCCCACATATATGTACTATATAACCAAAATGTTTTATTAATTATTTTGGAATTAATTTTATTTTAAAAGATATTTCAATAATTATATTAACAAATTAATTATACTTTTAGATTTTATTTTTCCATAGTAAGATTTTTGATAGTTTTAGGTAATAATATAATAAATATTTTTTCAATTAAAGCTTGGATTTTTTTTTAGTATACCTTTTTATAAAATGATGGTACCAACAAGTGATACAGTACGATATAGTTACTTAATAACAATGATGTTACAGAAACAATATCCCATACTTTTAGTTGGGCCAAGTGGTCATGGTAAAACTTTAATTATAAATCATGTTATTAACAACCTTGATATTACAAAATACAGTAAACTCATAGTTAATTTTTCATCTCAGGTAAATATCAATTATTTAATATATTTTTTATTAACTAAAGTATATTATTCAGTAAAATTTTATAAAAATAAGTTATGAAATTAATATACATATATATATATAACTTTTATTAATTTTTATAATTTGTAAAATATAACTTTTTATTTTTCAAAAAATATTAAGTTATAATTTTTGAATTTATTAAATTTTCTTGTAATTAATTTAATCTCAAATAGCCAAGGGAATGTATCCACTTACTTTGAATTTGAGATTAAAGAAATTGTCAATTCTGGATATTGTTCTGTATTTCTTATATTGCAAGTTGTTTTTGTTTTTATAAAATTTATCTTCATTTTCATAAATAGTATTGTAATTGTGGTGTTCGTAATGAGAGTTACACGATCCCGCGAGCGAAATGGTACAAAATGAATCTCAATACAAAGTATTTTTTTATTCTCTCTGAACAGGTTCTTTACATAGGATCCCAACTTTACAACTTCCAGAATTTAATATGTATACAGGCATTCAATGTTTGTCCTCAAAAGCAGTTATCTTGCACACACGCGACAATCTGACGAGGACCGTACTCACTTACACTAACTTATACTAACTCAAAACTAAAAAATGGAAGAATAGAAGAAATAAAGATAGCTAAGGAAAGTAGTAGGAATACCCGGGTTTCTTGTGATGAGTCCTTTGGTGGGGGACAACTTCGGACTAAGTCGTCTTCCCTCGATGATCTCTCTCTCCACTTACTCGTCTTTGATCACCTTTTCCTTGTAGACTTTTCGTCTATAATCTTTTTCTTTCGGGCTGAGTCATCTTCCCTCGATGATCTCTCTCTGCACTCTCTCGTCTTAGATCACCTCTTCCTTGTAGGAGCACTCACTTTTTCACCTTCTACCTCTTCGGGATCTCAACCCAGAATGGCACCCTTTCTGTCCATTTTGCTTCAGGGCCTCACTCCCTCTCTTTTCGTTCTCCTTATCGAGGGAAAGATAATCCTCCCCCAAGGGCAAAAGAGTTAGACAAAGAAAGTTCTAGGAAGATTTAGACAAAAGAGAGTTCTAGAAAGAGTTAGACAAAGAAACAAAGAAAATCTAAGACTAATTCAATATAAAATATACAGAATATACAATATCATGGCCGACGGCCACATAATAATGTTTTTAATAAACACTTAAACAGTGATAAAAAGTTTTCAATTGACTTACAATAAAAGCCAGGATATAATTTGAAACAGCCAGATAGTCACCTCAATAGGTGAGGTGACTAGCTAACTGCTTCAAATGACAAAATGAGAGGTGTGTCCCAAATGTTCAAAAGGAAAAAAAGTAAAAAAAAAAAAAAAGCTGAATAAAGAGAAGTCCCATAAATGTACTTTAAAGTTGTTTATAAATACAGTGCATTCAATAACACTTAATTTTTAATATTTATTTCAGATGGTTAAATAGATTAACCAAATTTAATTTTATGTATTTCAATGTATTTTTACATTTATATACAAAGTATCAAGTTCTAATATTTTATATGCAATAGATTAATTTTATCGAAGAAATAAGTTTTTTGAAGTGTTCAATAATTATAAGATTACTTATGAATAATGGATAGAAAATAATATTTTTGAAGTTATTTATGAAAGATAATAACCAGAATGTCCTCCTTTGTTTACAATTACTTTGAAAATTTTCCCTGTCATCAAATTGATCAAGTTTTGAAGAAAACCCCAAAATTTCCAGATAATGTTAATGATATGGATGGGAGCATTATCTTGCTGGAACTGCCACTGATGATTCCCCCTAGTCTTTCTCCAAAGGAAGATAGCTTTAATTTCTAGCTGCTGGATGTATCCTTTAGTATTCTGCCTTTTTTTGGGATAGGCAATATTTGTTTGTTTGTTTTTTTTTTTTTCGCTCTCCAAAGGCAGTCCAAACCATTACAGATCCCCACTCCTTTGTCATTTAGAGTCATTTTCCTCGCCTTTCTTAAATCATGCCAATAGTATTGGCAACTATCAGGCCCATCTAAATTAAACTTTTTCTTACCTGACCACACTATATTCCTCCACTGTTCTTTCTAGGACATGTGATTTCTGGTCTAAGTCAGTCTGGCAACTTTGTGCTTGTCTGTAAGCTTTGGTTCTGACTTTTTTTTGACATATTTGAGATGATTGGTAATATGTACTACATTCCAAATGATCCAAAGTTTACTCCATATTTAGGTTTTGCAGCATAATTATGATAGTTTGTTTCATTCACAATTTCAGTTAAAATTGTTCATTTCTTATGAGAAATAAGTTTGTGCATCTTTTTAGAACTGCCCAGTGCCCTGAACGTTTAAGTGAAGAAATTCAACCAAGATAAACAGCAGGCATAACTATGACTGTTCTTAACTGCTTATTCATCACATAACTTCAAATAATTCCTGATCATTCAAATTGATCTGTTTTTTTTATCAATAGATCTTATTAACTCACCAGCTTCACTTAAAACATTTATTTTACCCTTTTCAAATGCTAAAAGTATCTTGCCTTTCACCCATTTTGCCTTTTCCAGGGATCAAACTATCCCTGAATATTGATAGTATTATTCCAGCTCACCTGTAATTTGGAACTGATTTTTTGGCTCCCATTCTTTGTCATATTTACTGTGCCTGTCTTGCATAGACTATGTGTCTTTGGCTTGATAGCCAATTAAATTTATTTTTATTTCTAAGCCTGGTAAAGCCTGGTTTTCCTGTGGTCAAGGCTTTTAGATATATTAACCTAATGTCTATTTATGTTAAAGACATTGGAGAAACATTTTGATAGTCATCTGAGGGACATTTGTTTGAGTAAGTTGTAATTCCATTCTCTTCAGTTTGCCTATCAATTTGATAAGTGTTATGAGGATGTTTTATAGAATTTGATTTTCTAAGTTGAGAAAGCATTGGATGTTAAGGAGAATTAAGTTATATTTCTTGATATTGAAGATGGTTTTGACAAAATCTCTTTTGAGGCTATTAAACTTGCTGTGCTTGAATATGGCCTTGGTACTGCTTTCATATGCTGGATTGGCTTTATGCTATACCTTCATAGTGTGGCGATTTCCTTTTTTAGAACTTAAGAGCATTTGCATTGAAAGTCTGTTCTTATGTGGTGTTATTTTATCCTTGTTATGGTGTTTCATTGTGGATGGTCTCCTGAGGAGCCTTAACAGTTCTGGAATATACAAACAATATTATTCTGTTTTTTATAGGAGAATTTACTGGCACTCTGTCAGACCTTCAAAGAGTTTTCTGAATTTCTATCCTGTGATAAAAGGGTGCAGTTTTCTTTTTCAGTCAAATGCCTTAGAGTTTTACTTGACTCTATTTTATTATACATTTTATGCCTTGAGATAGTGTTAGATAAGGCCAGGAAAATCTTCTGATCATGTAGCTGTACCCTTGGTGATACTTGGGGTCTTCATCCATGTCCTCTTTTGGATTTTTACTATAGTGGTTCAATCCATAATAGCCTATCTGCCTTAGTTTGGTGAATTAGGGTGCTTTGCAAGGGCTGTCAAAGTTGCAAAATTTGCATGTCTTCTTTTATTAGGGCCATGTCAATGATCCCAGACAGTTTTCTTGAGGTTCTATTGGGTTTTTTCCTCTTCATTCTGTTTATTCAGAATGAGATTAGAATGACCTTTATAACCTCAAGTGTAACAGTTAATTTATTTCTATACCAAGGACATATGACTTCACTGAGGGACATGATAGAGGACATCTTTTTGATAAGTAATGATAAAATGTTACCTCAGTTTGTTTGATACATGTTATCTGGTCACCTATCTTATTTGTCTTCACTGGTAAATAGGAAAGGAGACCAGATAACATGGGTAGAGTAATCTTTTATTGAAAGATATATATATTCTGATCTACAGATGTAGATGAATCTAAAACTGATAGTGGTATGAGTCCTGGCATTTGTGGGCAATGGTCAGGTAGGGATTTATTTGTTCTATTGAGTAAATTCTCTACTGTGTGTCAAGGAGAGTTGGTAGCTATTAATTGATCTGTTTGCACCATTTTATGTAGAGGTTCTTTTAATAAGACTATCTACATTGTTTCTCACAGTCAAGGTGCTTTGAAGTCACTTGACTCTTGTCAGATTATTTCAGCACTTGTTTGGGAATGCTGTTGTGTTTCAATAAACTAGCTATTCATAATACAGTTTTTCTGTTGTGAATGTCAAGACATGGTGGTATTTCTGACAACATAAGTGCTAGTTTAATGGCCAAACATAGAGTTTCATATCCATTTGTAGGATCTGAACCAATTATTAGTATTTCTTATAGTATATTTTATAGAGCTCCCTTTCTAAGCATTGGAAGTTAATGCCTGATTAAAGAAAGACTTTTTTGCCTAGTCTGCTCTTTGGTGTGAATAAGAATTTCTTGACTTTTGACAGGAATCATGTTTACATTTTGGTCAGCATTGTAAATAGTTTGTTTCTTTCATAAACATCTATACTAACATCTATACTAACTGAAACTTTCCTCCTTGGCCTCTTGCCACTTTTATGGATCTGCTGAGGAGACTCCTTTACATCTTATTTGTGAATGTGCAGATGTTTGCTCAGGTAGATTTGTTAATCTGGTATCTACTTTGAGCCCTTCTCAGTGGTACTAACTTTTAAAAATTATTGGAATGTTCCATAAATTAAATGTTATTCAAAAAACTCAGTATTATATAATTTTTAAAAAAATCAAAAAGTATTACAATTTGTGGCTGACTTTATTATGCTTATATCATTTCATTCCTTCATCATATTAAATAAAATTCTTGGTGAACATGTAAAATACTAATGCTGTTTAATTGTATTGCAGTGATTGTTATTTTTAAGCATGTTTTAAGGCATTTAAGAGTGGAAAAGGAGCATTCAGATGTAGTCATTGGAACTGTAATCAACAGTCTGATGAATTTTACCAACTTTGGCAACAAGGTGCATATTCCTATATTATTTCTAAGTTCAGCAACCACAATATGGAATATAATTTATAATTTATATAATAATAAATATAATTTATAATATATTTTCTTTGAAGCCTTGTGATTTGAGAATGCCTATGTTTCTATATAATTTTAAATGCAACTGTCTTTTCTGCTGTTTTGATGTCATCTTTGTAAAAGTTCTAAACCTTAATATTTTTAGACACATCTTTACTGATTATAAATCTTTCCATGTTTACTTGGTAGTTCATACATTCCTTCTGGAACTGGCTTTCCATTCTAATCTTAACATATTTAAACATTTCTTAAAAAACTCTTCAGGAGAAGAAAACACAAGCTTCACTGTCACTGTCAAAGGAATTACTGTCATGCTATTGCTAGTTCTAAATTCAATTTAATTGCTTTAAAAACTTTGTTCTGAAAAGTCACTGAGTTTCCCATTTGGATGTTTGAAGGTTTTCTTCAATTTTGGTGTTATATATTTAGTTTCTTTTAACTTTAATGTTGCATACTGTTTTATATTAAGTTTAAAGTCATACTGAACCAAAAAGTGGCAGGCTCAATAGAGACACCATCTCATGGCCATTTATTCATTATAAAAATAAAAAATACAAACAAAGGACATATAACACAAATCATTGTTACACATATAGGTAATGGCAGGAGAGAAATTTAACAAACATTATAGCCCAATAGCATATGGCAGTGGTTGGCTTTGATAATAAAATATCAGTTCATTCAGAAAACTGTTCAATTTTGCATCTGTTTTTTCTGTACAAATATACTACCACAGTATTTTGAACGAGTCCAGCATCAAGATGTACTTCAAATTTGAAGTGCATCTTGTTCTTTAGAATGTTATATTTTCAAATAATACCTAAAGAAGATCTTAGAAGAAGATCAAAAATGTTAGTTTTTTAGAGAAGTAACCTGATTCTGTGTTCAAGGTACTGTGGTGGTGTATTTGTATTCCTTGTTCAGTTTCAGTGATGTGATTTTGTTTCTCCTTTGTCTTCATTTGTAACTCTTTTGAAAAAGTAATAAAGTACACAAGAAACTTTTCTCTTTCAGAAAAAATATATAAAGAAACAAATGTTTTTGGCCTGATTTATAGGCTTACATCAGGTTCACTTACATTCTTAATAAAAAAACTCTTTTTTGGAATGTCTAGTAACAAATTTAAATTAATTTGTTGAAATATATGAACATTTTAAAAAAAATTTTCTTTACATTTGTGTATTAATATTTGTCTCTTAAATTAATAATAAAAAAAAATAAACTTTCATGAAAACTAGTTATTTTATTTTATTATTACTTTAAGAAACAAGTATTAAATTAATTAATCTATACTACTATATAAAGAGAGAACGTATTTTTCGTTTGTGACCACTAACCGTGAAAACTACTGAACCAATCGTTACCAAATTTTAACTGTAGCATCTTTATGACCCCTGGAATGTTTACCACTAATCAAACCTGCAGATTTTTTATTAATTAAATAAAAGATATCATCTAGGGTTAAGGCTTTTATGTCCAACAGATGGCGCTACGAGTATGACGCCCTAAGTTTGCTTTTCTGTGAGGATGAACTAAAGCAGATCATCATCTATCTATCTATATAAATAAAAATGTATTTCACACAACGCTGCATTCGAATACGCACGTGTTTTTATATAATATACATGTCGAAATTCCCCCCACTGGGGGGAGATGAACAGGATTAAGGCTTACCTTGAAGAACTTTGCTTCTATTATACTATTTTAGATGCGGGTTTTTGCATTTTTGATTGCGTTTTAATAGAGTACGTCAAGAGAATGTACACTAAGAAGAAATTTTTCGAAAAATTCCCCCCACACGGGGGAAGTGTTATACATTTATAATAGATACATTTTCAGCCACAACAACGCATGGCGGGGTCTGCTAGTATATAGATGTAAAGAAAAATTAAAAACAATTTTTTTAAATGTTTATATATTTTGAAAATTAATTTGAATTTGTTATTTGACATTCCAAAAAAGAATTTTTATTAAGAATGTAAGTGAACCTGATGTAGACCTATAAATCAGATCAAAAATGTTTGTTTCTCTAGATATATTTTCTGGAAAGAGAAAAGTTACTTGTGTACTTTATTTCAACGAGTTCCAATTTAAGTGTTTGTTTTGTCTTTTGAAAAAGGTTAGCAAATTGGCATAGTTTCTAAAAAGTGATTGCAAAATGCTTGCTCAAACAGTCTATTGAGTTTCAGCATAAGTCCATAGATTTCCCATTTCTTCATCTTTTAATTATCTTAAATGCAGCAAGTCATTTAAGAGAAACTTTAATGAAATTAACTCCTGAATTATATTTATTATATTTCTAAAGTTAAAAAATGGAGAAACACAATGTTTGAGATTTATATTATGGATGAAACTATATACTTGTACATACAAGACTATATTTTCTATCTCTCACACCCTCAAATGAGCACAATTTTTTATGTTTGATAGACCATCAATACAAAATCCCCAACACTGATTATTGACAATCTATACTGGACTAGTACATTCTTCATAAGAGAGATTCTGCAGTAATTCTGCTGTTTTGTAAAATCCCAAAAAGTCTTGATGAACTTCCAATAAAGGCAACACATAATCTGTTCTAATGTAGATAGGTCTCTTGTTTTATCCATCATAAAGCTAAAATATGAGAATACCTTAATTGGTTCAAGTAGTTTAAGCAAAACAGAATTTGAGTGAAATATTATGGTTAAAATTTCTTTTTTGATAATATATGATAAAAATCTGTACTCAGCACTACTCAGTTTGGTTAGTACAGCAAATCTGTAGATTTGCTGGACTAACCTAACTAAAGCAATTGATTAAAGTTTGATTTTTCTTTGGTTTTACTTTTCACCAATAATTTTTGTATTTTAAGGTAGAAGAGACTAGAAATAATTTTTTGTAGGGCTTCATGGTTCAATTTCATTTCCTTATTTTTGGATTCAGATGGTTCATTTAAAATGTTAATTTTATTGTTTCAATTACAAGCAAGTTTGATAATAGCTTCTTGGTGACAGGTTGGATTGATGCGTGGTAAATTTTTATAAAGCTTTGTTCTACCTATAGAACTCTGTTAATAAAAAATTTATCTTAATTTTACCTGAAAAAGTTATTAAGTTTTTACTTTTGGCTTCACATAGACATTACAGCAATAGAAACATTCAGGATAGTATGAATGTTTCTATTAGGTCTCAGGATAGGGTAGCCTGAGCTTTAACATACTTTATCCAGTTGTACCTTTCTTGACATTTTAAGTTTCTGGACTTCACAGCTGTACTTTCACAATACTGTCACTGTTAGTTTTTGTTTTGTTTCCTGGACTGGACTGTTACTAGGAAATGAAATTGATTCATTTCTACTGGTACCATGTTTATAATGCAAATTTGTAATTGTATTCTTTAAAACAAACGTCTCTGATTCTTAAGTAAATGTTTTTAGATGCCCCAAATAATAAATTTATCCATTTTTCAAAAACTAAATATGTATCAAAAGAATGCAACATGGCAAATAAGAAAACATTTTTCTATTATTCTTAGTGTTGTCAGGTTGTTAGAAAGTGTCATCTCATCTTATTTGAGGCTTTTTTTTTATAATTATAGTAATTAGCATTAGGCTCTTGATTTAAACATTGGAAATTTATTAAAATTTTGCTAAAAATGTTGGGGATGTTAATACCCAACATTTTTAGCAAAGCAGGAAGGAGCATATGTATGACATAAGCAAAGGACACTATTCTACAGCACTATCCATAGTGGTGCAAATGGATGGTTCTGTAGTTGAATGGGCTGAGGCTAAGATTGTTACATCAGTGCATTCACTGATTCTGGCATTGAGTTTGGAAAAGTTTGAAATTTCATCCAGCCTGACTGGCAAATGTTTAAATTACGAGGATGCCACAGGGTTATCATTGGTATGGAAATATATGATCAGGAATGGCTCATAAAATCTGATGCATAATACATGGTCAATGTAATTTTATATGTTATGTTATTATATTTGTATTTTTATTTTATTTTATTTTGTTCTACTCTATTTATTTTGATTCATTCAGTTTATGTAGTTAATGGATTAGTTATATTTTTATATATTTTGGTTTTTTAACCAAATGTTTGAACCATTTTAAATTCAAATTTGTTATTTTATATTGGTTTGATAATAGAATGATTGTAAACTTTCCAGAAAATTGATAACTGATGATGGTTTATTGATTAGGTTGAAAACGTTTGTTTAAAGCAGTAAAATGATTCTCATCAATAAGGTGTATGTGTTATATAATATTCAATGAGTCTGAGTGTATGTTGAAGTGATGATGTTAATACTCATTGTAATATTATTAAGGATATTTGAATACCCACACTTTGAGCTACTGGCCCTGGTATCATCCTCAGCTTTCCTCTTAGGGTTCACAATGAAACTTTTTTGGTTCAGGGGTGTTTGGTCTGCTGTCTCCTACCTGTACAACAGCAATAATAATAATCTCTGAATATTTGAGATTCAGTCCAGATTGAAACCCAGATTTCTCTAGAGCTGTAGATTGATAACTTTATTGCCTTGGTCATTTGACTGTCAATAAAATTTATGTAGTAATAGATAATTTTAAAATATTTTCTTAATTTTTATTATGCAATAACTATAACTATTGAGTTTTATTAATTTTAGTGAATATTTGTAGATAAAACTTTGTCGAATTCAAAGAATTATTGAAAGTAAAGTAGAAAAAAAAATGAAAGAAGTTTACATTCCTCAAAATGGAACAAAAATGGTTGTTTTTATTGATGATTTAAATATTCCTTCAAATGATAAATTTGGATCTCAACCTTCATTAGAACTTATACGAATGCTTATTACATATGGCTTTTGGCATGATTGTGAAAATTTTCAGAAAAAATGTATAGAGGTATATATTTTGATTATTATTATTATATATATTGTATAAAAATTTAATATTGAACAAAAATTTGACAAATTATTGAACATCTCATAAGTTTCTGTTTATTTTTAAATTAAATACTTTTCTTAGTATAGTTTCAAAATTTGTAAATTTTATCATATTAGCTTTAATAACTGAGATTATAATAATTCTTTTGAATAATTAAAATGAAGAAAATGATCTGCAACTTAGGATATAGAATGATTTGTAAAAACATTCTAAGATACTCATTGAAATAAATATTTCCAAATAAATGCACACAATCATTATAGACTTTTTGAGCTAAATTAAATTAATGAAAATTATACATTAGAAATATATAATTATTAGAATCTATTTTTAAAGTTAGATTAAAAAGAACATGTCATAATGGAATAATCATATGGGTAATAATTCTACCTACTCTACAGGCTAAAATAATCAATAAATTGGGTAAAATTTACTTTCTACTATATAGGTTAAGTAATTTTTGGCTCATGAATAAAAGAGAAATTGCTAGGAACAGAATAAATATGCTAATCTTTTATGCATGTATTGTTCAGTTTGATTGGGTTATATTTTATAGATTATATAATGAAATCTTATTCTCTTGTTTTATTTTTTAAGAATAAATTGTTATAACATTAGAAACAACTTTTTTCAATATGCTGCAGATTAGATTATCAATCTCTTAAAGGTCTTATTATTTCTATTTTATTTTAATTCCTGAAAATTAAAATGAAAAAAAATATATAGATATGAACAGAACCAGAAAAAAGTAGTTTATCAATATTATCTTTCATTTTTATTATTCTTGATTGAATAACAAAATTTCAAATTGATGAAAATGTACATAAGAGAAAATATTGTCATTTCATTTATAGCTAATATAAATTTAAAATATTTGCACCAGGTTATAATATCTAGTGTTTTGTAACTTTTCTAATAATTTAAATTGCATTATTTTAATTTATTACAGGATTTGGTAATTATTGCTGCTATGAATCCGTGTGTTGCAGGAAAAGCTATCATTTCAGCTCGACTTCAAAATCTTTTTCTTCTTATTAACACTACACATATACAAGTGAGTCAGTTCTTTAATGTTAAGATAATCAATTAAACAGTAATAAAAATTTTTCCTTTTAATTTTACTTAACATTTTATATTTATATTTTTAGAAAACAATAAAAAAGTAATATATTAAACATAAAATGTAAATTATTATTTAAAATAATTTATAAGTAATAAATATTTCATATAAATTCAAATTAATTAATAAATAAAAGATTAGTGCATATAATTAAGATAAAATTGAATTTTTGATATGAAGCGATTTCATAAAAGCTGTAATGCTGCCTTTTTATTTTTTCATTACAAATGATCTGACCTATAATAAATTTGGTCAATGTGGGTGAAAGATTGAGAACAAAGCCTGATCAAAATTCATATGAAAAATTACAAGAATGTAGACTAATAGTAGTCAATGTAGAATGTAGTAGTAGTAGCCTGGTCTCTACTGTTCACTAGTGGGCATTTTAGCTTTCATGGTGGGCAGTAGGGTTTTGTCTGATACTGAAGCACTTTCCTTTTTTTTTTAATTTAAATGACTTTTTAAAAACATTGAAATGGAAAATTTTTAAAGTATTGTTTAAAAAATTTTCATAGCATTATTTAAAAACATTTTCATTAGGTTTTCATAAAATTCTTTAGTGTTTATATTTAAATTTCTGAAAATATACTATTTGTATTGCCCGTGCATAAGTTTAGTTCATGTTATATAAGTGAAACTAAATGGCACTACCACCACCAACCATTAGACTGGCCTTAGTCAGTAATTTATCTCTGGTCAGTATTTAGTTAGATTTTTTGAGAGTAAGCATGTGCCTACATCTTCAAACAAAATATCTACTTATATAAGCCATTGATCTTACTGTTTGTATATCTGTCACGGAATGTCTAGAATGCACACTAGGGGGAATCCCTAGCAACGATTTTCAGCTATTATTTATATTAATAGTATAATATATAACACAGTGGTGTGCCCTGACATTTGATGATAGGGAAGCTGTGTTTCTGTAAGAAGCCAACTTCCAGGGGCAATCAGTCAATGATGGTCTACAGTCCATTCGTATTCGTTTGTTCGAAAAGCCAGTAAAAACCATAGACTTCTCTAAATGTATTTTTAATTAACAGATTATCTAACGTACTTAATAAATAAGCAAGTTCAAAATAATTACCTCTGTTATATTAGATTCAATAGATTCCCTATGCCCTCTAAATGCTAATTCTTGTTTTGATAACATCTACTAATTTGTGTATAATTTACCTATTAGCCATAACTTTGTTATAATTTTCAATATTTCTTTTTTATATTGTTTACTAATGTTAAATTCTACTCTTTTTTGATTTCCAAATTGCTTCAATTTTACGAAAGAATTGATGCGAGATTTAATATTTTCGTGTCTTTTGCCAGCTTTACTCAAATTATTTAAATCATCAAAGCCATTTTTATTCTACACACTAATTTTATTTGAAAATAATAGGCAAGGCTAACAAAACAATTTTTGCATTTCTATGTATCCACAAAGCCATTTTATGTCTTCATAAATTTTATCGTAAAAATGTCAAACAAATTTTTTTGTTGACGTAAGTAGTAGTGGTTTGACACATACTGATCACAAAATTAATTTCATGAGTAAATTTCAAATAAAAATTTGTTGAATGGAATTATTTCAGATCACAAAATTAATTTTTTGAATAAATTACNAATTCCCCCCACTGGGGGGAGATGAACAGGATTAAGGCTTACCTTGAAGAACTTTGCTTCTATTATACTATTTTAGATGCGGGTTTTTGCATTTTTGATTGCGTTTTAATAGAGTACGTCAAGAGAATGTACACTAAGAAGAAATTTTTCGAAAAATTCCCCCCACACGGGGGAAGTGTTATACATTTATAATAGATACATTTTCAGCCACAACAACGCATGGCGGGGTCTGCTAGTATATAGATGTAAAGAAAAATTAAAAACAATTTTTTTAATTGATTTAGTTAATTAAATAATTAACAAAGTACAGCAGGAAAACTGAATTTTTTCAATAAATTCATCTCTGATTGTGCTATTTTGTCATTTACTAATGTGTTCACTATTAGTCATAGGTTAGTGATTTGACTACAAAAGTGCAGACTGTCATTAAGAAAAATAATTTTTCTACCATTAACCTTTATTATTCTGTATTATCATAATTATTATAACATGTAACTCTACGAGTATTAATCCAATAACTTCTTCTTCCTTCCAAAAATAAAAAAATAAAAAACCTCATATACAAACTACAAAAATATCATTTTTATATACAGCACTTATTAACAAAGAAGAATGATTAATAATAACTAAATTGCTATTATTCTTTGTTTGTATACGCAATTAAAAAATAAAATAATGCATTATTTAACTTTTTTTTTCCTATTAAAATTAAAATATATCTTCTAATCATTGAGAATTTGATTTATTTAACTTGAAATAAGAATAAATATGTTTAAATAAATGTAAGTATTTTAAAAAAAACTCAATGAATATGCCATTTATAGTTTATTATTATTATTATTTTTTTAAAAAAACATTATTATTAATTTTATTAAAATTCTCATAAAATAAAAATAAATTTATCAATATTTAATAATTGCTTTGTAACAAAGTGAACAAATTTAAAATATATTGATCATCACTTCTTTTCCTTTACATCAAGCTAAGGGTCAAACTATGAGAAAATATACATCTGTCAATAAATTTTCTGCCAACCCTTCTGCACCATGATGAACACATATGCTTACTAAATCAATTATTATTTTTGGAAATTTAATGTTTAAATATAATTTTCTTTTATGTACACTTACACACAATTCATTAGTTAATTTATATTTTAATTATATAACTTTATTAATATAATTAATTAAATTTGATATTTTCTTAAATTACGTATAATAATTTAAAAAGAATATTTAAATATTTTTAAGGAATAAAATGCTAAGAAATTTTGTTACTAATTTAAATTTTGGTAATATAAATTTATCAAATATTTATCATTAAATTAACCTATTTATATTAAATATCAATAATTCAATATTTATCAACATTAATCAATGTAAAACTTTAAATATAAATTGTTTAGAAAATTTTAAAATTTAATAATATTCTTCATATAAATTTAGTAACTATTTTAAAATATACATAATTATTTAATCGTTAAATCACTAATGATTTTAATGATATATTTATTCATTAATGATTTAAGTATTAAGTTTTGTAAATAAATTCAGAAGTTATGTAGAATCAATATGACTTAATAATAATAATCATTATTATTATTATTATTATTACATGTATTATTATTGTTATTTAATTACTTTTCGCAGGATATTGTTGTTACAGTAGTTGCATTTGTTGTAAACTTGCCGTAAAGATGTGATTAAACACCATCAAAATATTTCGAAGGTTAAGTAAAAGTTAGTTGAATGTAATTTACTACCTGTCATATTCTAAATGTACTATTTATTTAGAAGTGATTGATTACAGGTGGTTGTTATAAGTTACATTTTAGTTACTTGGCTGTAATTTATTACAAAACGGGCTTCACGATGTATAGAGAACAACCAATAAGTAGATAAGCGATCGTTCAAGTACAACATAAGCATTTAAACAAAGTAAATTTTTTTTTATTAATCTAATTTTTAACTGGTTTTCTTTTATTGCTTTCACTTGAAAATTTAATTTAACTCTCGAACATTCTACAATTAATTTTATTACTTGAGTTCTAATTAAGATTTGATTAACAGAAGTTATCTCTAAGGTCTCTGGGCTATAAATAAATAAGAAAATCTTATATATATATATATATATATGTATGTGTGTGGAAGAATAAAAAATAGAATTTGACCTCTTTCAATATTGAGGTATATATTTAAATTGAATAAATTTAAACTGATAAGAGAAAAATAGAGGAAAAAATTATAATAAAATTTAGGAAAAGTGTATCAAAATGTGTTTTAAAAATACAACTAGAATTGTATTAAATGAATAAAAAGTAATAAAACATGCAAGAGGATAAAGATAATATATAAATGCAGGTGTATATAGTGTATATAAAAAGTAAAAAATAAAAACGTTATTTTAATCAGATTTTTTTTTATAAAGTTAAAAAGATTTTCATAAAATTGCTTAAATAAAAAAATATTTATATTAAAAATTCTCTTAAAAATGTACATTTTTTTAAATGGTTAAAAGATAAGGTACGTCATCAAAATTGAATTTTAGTTTCAAACCAATGATAGGACAGAAATTTACCTTTGCATATAATAAGGATAATATTGGAGTATTTATTGCATGATTCATTAAAGATATTATCGAAAAGAATAAAACGCTAATCAAAAAGACTTACGATTATCATTTCCGTATATTATTATAGCTTTTGAGAATAGAATGATGGCGATCAAGTTATCATTTGACCTTTCGTTCTCACGAACTCAATCGAGGTTGAGCATCTCCTATAATTGCACGTCCTTAATTGACAAATAGAGTTTATAAGAGATGCTCTGACCGTCTGCAATTACCGCAGAGTACGCCATACAAACTATCATTAAATCATCAAAGTCTTTATCAAGTGCAGCACACACTCTCGCGAGTTATTCGCCAGAATTTATTTGATTCATCTGTTCACATCTGATTATTTAACGAACTGGCATAGGAATTGTTGAAATGAAAATTAATAAAGGAAATTTAAATATATATATATATATTCCTTGTATAATAAGAATAACTTTAATATAAAGCGCTTTAATCTTAATATTTAAATACAATTAAAAATACTCAATTTTCTTATGATTATAACAAATTTTTTAAATATAATTAATGTTAGAATAATAAATTTGATAACGAATTTTTATGCATATTTTTATATATTTTTTTATGATTTAAAAAAATTACAATAACAATTTTTGATTAGAGGGGGAAAAAATTTAGTTTTTGTTCATAACTTGATAATTTTTAATGTTCATTTTTCAAGAGTAAATTAAAAGACATCTGCTCTAACAACTAAGCAGAAAAAAAAATTCTACACGCTTGTTATTTATGTCTTTATATATTTTTTTTCTATTTACTTTACTAATATTAAAAAAATTATAAAAAAGTTTTTAAATTACATACCCATGTTTTATGTAATTAAAATTGTTTTTTTAAATATATACTCCTTGTTATTAATGAAAATATATCGTAATTTAATAACTTATGTATACTTTTTTTAAAAAATGTATAAATTTTTTCTTNTTAACGTAAAGGGAAATATTATATTTGATTTTTAAAAAATATATTTCTAACTGACCTTTAATAGCCTTTTATTGGTTGATTGACTTATCAGAATCTACTTAATATCTGCTTATTGATCAAAAAAATTCCTACATAAGCTTCTATCATAATGGTTTTTTTTACTAAAAATATCACTTATGAATGTTTTCAGATAAAACCTGAAGTTTTTTACTTAAAAAGACCAAAAATAAGACATAAATTTATGTATTTATTAGCAAAAAAACACGACGACAAGTTTATTTTTTATTTATTTCAATTAAAATACTTAAATAAAATTAGTATATATTTTTCAGTAATTATTTTATTATAGTTTTATTAAAAAAATAGAATAATTTTATTCATTTACCCTTTATAAAATCAATGTATAATTCATATTACCGAACACGACCTCGTCAACACCAAAAGTAATGATAGGGAAGAATCAAATTACGAAACTGTTTATTATTATAATTAATTTTACTGAAGTAAAAGTATCTATCTTGTGTTATATTATTAAATTACAGATAATAGAGAGTTGATAGAATCCGGAAAAAATTTTTTATATATATATAAGACAAAAAAATAAGAGAAAAATATATATAGAAGAAAGAATCGAATAGTTCGATGATGATCTAAAAATCTATTGATAACTGACAATCCAAGTTAGGAAAGAAAAAAAGTAACAGAAAACACCTGAGACCTTTTCCTGTCGTGTTATATGCAACTTGTACAAGGAGTATAAAAGAATAACATTGAAACATCCAAGTTTGGCTCCAGGGGTGATACTTGGAGCTGAACTTATAACTAAAGGATAAAGCACACGAGATGAAAAAGTATTAATGGATTATCCAAGTTATAAACGTTCAATTTTCTTTATTTCTTCGATGCAATCATAGAAAATAAATAAATGTTTAATCCGAAAAAAGAATAGTTCTTAATAAGGTTATAAATTTTTGATTTATTTTTTTTTTAATAACAAAATAGTAATAATAATAATAATCATTATTATTATTATTATTATTACATGTATTATTATTGTTATTTAATTACTTTTCGCAGGATATTGTTGTTACAGTAGTTGCATTTGTTGTAAACTTGCCGTAAAGATGTGATTAAACACCATCAAAATATTTCGAAGGTTAAGTAAAAGTTAGTTGAATGTAATTTACTACCTGTCATATTCTAAATGTACTATTTATTTAGAAGTGATTGATTACAGGTGGTTGTTATAAGTTACATTTTAGTTACTTGGCTGTAATTTATTACAAAACGGGCTTCACGATGTATAGAGAACAACCAATAAGTAGATAAGCGATCGTTCAAGTACAACATAAGCATTTAAACAAAGTAAATTTTTTTTTATTAATCTAATTTTTAACTGGTTTTCTTTTATTGCTTTCACTTGAAAATTTAATTTAACTCTCGAACATTCTACAATTAATTTTATTACTTGAGTTCTAATTAAGATTTGATTAACAGAAGTTATCTCTAAGGTCTCTGGGCTATAAATAAATAAGAAAATCTTATATATATATATATATATATGTATGTGTGTGGAAGAATAAAAAATAGAATTTGACCTCTTTCAATATTGAGGTATATATTTAAATTGAATAAATTTAAACTGATAAGAGAAAAATAGAGGAAAAAATTATAATAAAATTTAGGAAAAGTGTATCAAAATGTGTTTTAAAAATACAACTAGAATTGTATTAAATGAATAAAAAGTAATAAAACATGCAAGAGGATAAAGATAATATATAAATGCAGGTGTATATAGTGTATATAAAAAGTAAAAAATAAAAACGTTATTTTAATCAGATTTTTTTTTATAAAGTTAAAAAGATTTTCATAAAATTGCTTAAATAAAAAAATATTTATATTAAAAATTCTCTTAAAAATGTACATTTTTTTAAATGGTTAAAAGATAAGGTACGTCATCAAAATTGAATTTTAGTTTCAAACCAATGATAGGACAGAAATTTACCTTTGCATATAATAAGGATAATATTGGAGTATTTATTGCATGATTCATTAAAGATATTATCGAAAAGAATAAAACGCTAATCAAAAAGACTTACGATTATCATTTCCGTATATTATTATAGCTTTTGAGAATAGAATGATGGCGATCAAGTTATCATTTGACCTTTCGTTCTCACGAACTCAATCGAGGTTGAGCATCTCCTATAATTGCACGTCCTTAATTGACAAATAGAGNATATATATTTAAATAAATAAAAGTTATATGAATAAGTTGTATAGATGGCTTCATAGTTATATCTTGAAAAAAATAGTTAAATAACTGATATTTTTATATATTGATCATAAATAAAACACTAAGAAATCCATTTTTAATATATTAAATCTATAAAATTCCTTCTCTTATCTAAAAATTTTATGAGTTTCGTGAGTAGAAGAGAAGAGAAAGAATCAAATGAAATTTTATATTTTAGAAGAAATTTACAAGTTTAGATATTTATTTTTCTGTTTTATAATTTATATAATATAATTTAATATATTTTAGTTGATTTTTATATAAAATACTGTTAAAGAATTTACGAAAATATCAATAATATTAAGCATTTAATCTGTTGAAATTTTATAAAGAGTGAAAGAGATGGTAAAACTCGACATTGTAACACTTCAAGTCTTTATTATTGAAAGAATGTTGTCAGGTTAGTAGATGGACTACAAAACTACTTCCTTTACAAGTCACCGTGATTTTTTTCTTTCCTCTTTTCATCTTATTTTTTCTGTAGCAACAAAACGAAAGAAAACAGCACAATAGCACAACTTTCGATAAGTTGGCACACGAATCGAAACGATACGCTAGGGAAGGGCACTCACCTTAAGTGTTGTGACAGAAAGTCCCGAATGGTGTGAAGCAAAAGAGTGGTAAAACAGTTCAATTTTACGCTCCACCAATTTTGGTAGCAATGTAGAGATTTGGTAGGACAGATACAAAACACAATTTTATTGAAAGTAGTAATAAATATGTAACTTTAATACACTTTTAAAAAGACACATGTACTACACTCTTCATTCTTTAAAAAAACATCAAAATTTAAGATATATTTTTTTAAAAATTAAAAAAAAAATGTATATATATAACCTATATATTTTTTTCATTTAAAAGTTTGCTAAACACATTATGTTTTAATATAATAACTGATTTTATTTTTTTTTTTATTTTTTTTGACTAACGTTGCTTAATCATTCTTTTCTGTACCGACTTTTAAATGCTTTTCAGTAGCAATTTCTTTATAGATATGGTTGAATACCTGCAAAGCTTGTCACTTTAATTATATTTCCCACGTTTTGACTGCAATATAGAAAAAGTAAAAGAGGAGAAAGAAGCTGGAGAGTCAAGAATCACAGCCTAATTACTCCGCCTTACAGTGTTGTGTTGAAAGACACCAGTAATTTTATTGATTACATTTTGCTTCCTTCGTGACATCCTCACTCTTGGTACCAACTTGGCTGTCGCCTTTTAACTTGTTTTGTCTATTTCTCGATGTCAGTTATTTTCCTTTAATTTCTTTTAATCTTCTTAGAGAATATTCTTTGTGTTTTTTAATGCAAATTCCATCTTTTTTTTTCAATATCAGAAAACATCTTATTGTCTAAATTTTATAGCCAACTAACTAAAATTTAATTTAAATGTTTGCG